CGATTTTTTTTTTATTACGGGGTCATAATATAGAAAAGGAACATCCATGCTCAGATTTAAAAAAAAAAATATACGGCCCTCCCATTCTCGTTATTTGGGGATATTTTTCTAAAAATCTCTCTTCATTAGTTGCTTGAAAAATTTACACCCCCTTCTATTTTCATTGAAAGTTTCGCCAATTGGTTCACATGTTCCGAAAACAGATTGCTGCATAGTAAAGTTTTATTACAGCTTATATTACATTTAGAAATGGATTAAAATTACGTAGATTATTTATAGTGAAATGAGCTAATGCTAATTGATATTCGAGAGAAATAACGTACGCAAGGAAAGGAACCCGACATCTTTCAAACGTCTGCACGTATACCTGTGTACGATAATTAAATTTATATCATCAAGGAAAATACGTCTAAGCTTCCGGTGCCATCCGTTACTTTGAAAATAACACTTGATATTGACTTTTGGTAAGTAAGTGTCCTTTCTGACATAATTTATTTTATCAAATAAACTCTGCAATATGACTATTTTGACTATTGCAAAGATTATTTGATAAAATAAATTATGTTAGAAAGGACATAAGGATTAATTCTGGAAATCGAAAAAGGTCTGAATAAAAAATTAAATAGAAGCCAAAATGAATACAGATTTTATAGATCGGCAATGAATTTAAGAACATAATCAAATTGTTAACAAATTATAGAAAGCATCATGAACGCTGTGACGATGTATGTGTCGACAAATATGTGTGTTTTAGTAAGAATAACTTATGTTGAGTAAATTGAGTGATAGATTTTATGTTGTTTATCGTCCCCCTCAATAATTTTTCATTCACAAAAATTCGTCACTCGGGGCCATCGAGGAATGACGGTCACAGGGAGCTCGGATTTAACGTCCGACCCGTGACTTCTGCTTTTAACAGCGGATGCCACGTGGCACAGTAAACAATAATCGAACTTTAGCCTCCCGACTGCGCAGCAAAGATAAATACTTGGGCTCTGTGGACCGGTTGTTGTCAATTCCAAGTAATCATAAACCATCTTAGAAATGTTAATTTCTACAATAAATTTATAGCTGAAAGAGTTTGACGTCACTACAACTGTCATTTTCAAAAAAAAAAACCTCTTTGATAAATTATTTACTTTCTCAGCGAAAAACTAAGCCTTGAGTAAAATCGATGAAATTATCCTGAAAGTCGTATGGAATATTGAAAATTGTATTATTAGTCCATTCAACAGCAGGCCTCTAGTTGCATCTATTATAGTTTTGCTAAAATATCCTTTATGCTATGAAAAATTGTGCAATTTCAAATATTGAATCATTGATGATAGGAAAAGACAAAGTATTGTGGCATGTAGCCGTTCTCCCCTGGAATCTTGTTTGTGACGGTCCAACCATTGATAGGAGCATAACTGGTCAGCTGATTTAAATTATACGTTAATATTAAGGTGTGTGTATGCGATAATTGTTTTGCTCAAGAGCCTTGCAAGGAGTAGTCAGACTGAGTATCATGAAAAGTCGAACCTCTATCACCTACACATACTAACTTGCTGTTAATTCGTTTCTGAATGGGTCAAAAAAGAGGCCCCAAAGAAACTTCATTTTTGATTCATATGACAAAGACAGCTGACATTAAAATGTTTTTCGCATATATTTAATACACTGTGAATACAATGTCAGGAAATTGCACGAAATTAAAGTTGAATACTCAACAACATGGCTGGTTTCTTCACGTATTGTTAATTAACACTTTCTTTTATAAAAATGTCCTTGAATAATCCTATTTTACACAACAAAGGTTGTAAGCGGTCGTTGGTCAGTCTGAAGTGAATACACTATGAGCCATGCTCTGCCACGAACTTGGCGATCATTCTATCTGTCCAGCTGTCACTTGTTTTAGCCAGTTTTCGTTCACTCAGCAGCATTCTATAAGAAAACGTACCAGGGTATGTGATTTAGTCTAGAATAAACTCAATGTCAATTTAAAAACAAATTCTACCATGCATTTGCCTATAACTAACTTTTTGGACAACACTGAAGAGTCGATATATAGTCAATCTTACCTTCCCAAGCGATGGTTTTTAGGATTGGAGGACCTTAAGGCAGCATTTATCAAGATCTGGTTAAAGACATCCCGCTAAAGGATCAGAAAAAGATAGAAATAAATTTAACAAATGAATAGTTTTTCAAAATTAAATCCATATTGATATCAATGAAAAAAAGAGTATTAAACAAGATGTGTTTGTGAAACACTGATGCCCCCATATGATAGCTTATGTTGAGGGTTGAATTTTCTCCAATGCATGTCAAACTCCAAAGGTCAAGGTCAAAAAGGTCAAAAGTGTTGGTACCAAAACAAAGTTACTATTACAAGGAATATACCTGTGAAATATGAAAGCCGTAGTTCCAACTGTTCAAAAGTTATGTTAAAATTTCTAAAATGTTGGTAAAACTCTTAGATCGATCAAGGTCAAAATTCAAAAAATATTTATACCAGCTGAAAGGTCTTGTCACAATAACTACACAGTGAAGAATAAAGATCTAGCTCCAACTGTTCAAAAGTTATGGCAAAGGTTAAAGTGTGGTATTCATTTGTAATTAAAATTAGGTCAAATTCCATAATCAAGAGGTCAAATTTGGTGGTACCCAAAAAAAGGTCCTGTCTAAAGAATACACCTGTGGAATATGAAAGCCATAGCCCCATCCAATCAATAATTTATGGGCTAGATTAAAGTTGATATCAGACAGACAGAGAAACAGACAAACAAATAGACAGGACAAAAACAATACCAGGTATTACCCCCGAGATTATGAGGCGCCGTTTTGGTATTTACTTGTAAAAAGTGATATCACCTGTGAATAGGTGATATCACTTATTCGAATAGGTGATATCATCCATTCGAATTGGTGATATCACCTATTCGAATAGATGATATAACTTATTCGAATAGGTGATATCACTTATTTGAATAGGTGATATGATATATTTGAATTGGTGATATCACCTATTGGAAATGAATAGGAGATATCACCTATTTGAATAAGTGATATCAACTATTCGTGCTGAAAAGGTGATATCACCTATTCATTTCCGATAGGTTATATCACCAATTCAAATACATGTAGGTGATATCACCTATTCAATTTGAATTGGTGATATAACCAATTCGAATAGGTGATATCACCTATTTGAATTTCTTACAAGAATAATTTATGCTCCCTATACTATATATAGATTACTACCGGAACCAAGAAAATTCGGACAACCCAGTTTTCGTGCGTTTTCCAATTTTTCTTAAAATTTACATGATAATTAAGTGAAATAAATTAATTTGTGAGCAAAACAAACTACAATTTCAATTGGGGTTGATTAAAATTAAATGCAAAACTGTTATCTATTGTCTTCTAGAATGATGAGTTATAAAACGAAAGTGAAAGTACTAAATAAGATTTAGGGACCTTAAGTCTTGGGAGCTGTTGTTATTTCATAAATAATTTGAAAGGTGATATCACCTATTCGAATAAGTGATATCATCTATTCAAAATGAAATAGTGATATCACCTATTCGAAAAGGTGATATCACTTATTCAGATTCTGAATAGGTGATATCGCCTATTTGAATAGGTGATATCACCTATTCCAATAAGTGATATCAACGTTTCTAATAGGTTATATCACCAATTCAAATCAAATAGTTGATATCACCTATTTGAATAGGTGATATCACTTATTCAAATAGGTGATATCACCTATTCAAAATCTGAATAGGTGATATCACCAGTTGAATAGGTGATATCACCTATTCGAATAGATGATGTCACTTTTTGGCAGTAAATACCAAAACGGCATCCCATACGAGATTTTTGATCCAGGGGCATCATCTGGGGATGAAGAATGTAAAAATGTGAACAGAGAACAATTCCATAATCCAGTAAACAAAACCAATCAATATTTTGGTTAAATCATGGACTCCTGTAGCAGCAGAGATGGGGTTCAGGTGCCTACACGTAGGACTAAGGATTACAAAATCATTGATGATTGTTTTCAGTAAGTTATACACATTGCCTCTTAACTACTGAATGTGTGAATTGTTACATCCGTAAGAATAATATTCTTTCATATTGTCATTAATATATATAATTTTCACCTATTAACAACAAGCGTGACAAAAAGCCCATCCCTGAAATGCTTATATTATGTATATATTCTTACCAAATTGGTTTATTATGCCTCCGTATTTGAAGATTCGAGAATATAGAGTTATTGCCTTATCCGTCCATTTGTCTAGCTGTTTACTGTATATGTCCGCAGAAAAATTAGCATTGCTCATAACTTTTGATTGGTTGGGGCTACGGCTTTCATATTTCAAATGTGTATTCCTGGTGTATTCCTGGTGACAAATCCTTTCTATAGTTACCAACTTATTTGACCTCTTGGCCTTGAAGTTTCACCAAATTTGGCAAGAATTTAACCAACTTTAACCTGGTCCATAACTTTTAAATGGGTAGTCTAGAGCTTTCATACTTCGGTTCACTTGTATATTCACTGTGACAAAACCTTTCCATGGAAATAAATATTTCCGACCTTGTCCTTTGAGTTTCGCACATTTTTAAAAAAAAATCATTCTAGGATAAATTTTTGAATAGTTAGTACTTACGGGCCTTAAGATTTTAAGGATGTATCCAATGTGACAAGACCTTCCTTGGATACCAACAATATTGACCTTTATGGAACTACTTCGAAGAAAAAATAAAACAGTTGCCCATTTGTCCTCACAATGAATATTTTATGCAGAATCCCAAGTATTAAGTATGTGTTTTGTTACCGTAGTTGCATTGTTCATGTACATGTAAGTTTGGTCATGGCAGTTCTTGCAGATATTTGGGAGTGACCAATAAGCTGATTTTTTATGTTTCTACATTCATGAAAGAAGATGAAATTCTTATTCATACACATTATTTTGTGCCTACCTGTGCATGGCTTCCCCCGATTCGTATGATATCGTAGCGTAGTGGGTAGAGTATTTCGGTAGCTTTATCATGCTCCCCATTCTCAAAGGCCAGTACCCCTTCACAAAGAGGAATGCCTACCTCTTTAACTATAGTTTTATTGTCCCACATTTCACCGTCTCTAAAATAAAATCATTAACGTGATGTTCTGTATATAATGAGTACGGGAATGATGAGGGACACTTTATTATTACATCTTTGACATCGCTTTGATTTTGAAATTTGCATAAAACTGATTTCATCATATTTATGTTTTGTAACAGCTAAATACGAGAACTGTAGTCAAATTAATTAATTCATACATTGTTACTTGCTCTTAGTTTAAAATCAATTCAATGTAATAATTTGATGTTGCGTTTTTAATGCAATAACCTGACATTGTGATATTTTTTATGTAATTATCTTATACTATGGTTTACTGATATTTTTAAAAATGAAATAACCCTGAGCATTCACATACTTTACATATTCTTTCAAAGACTGCAGCTGTTTTTCCTTTATGTTTTTGTCCTGGTCACAACAGCTTTTCAGAAACAGTTGTGATTCAGTAAACATTTGACCGTGTCCAAACATATATACGTGACTTGTCTTGTCTAACATCGACCAACGACTCCCAACGTCAACTCCTAGGGGTTACAAATATCATTAGTGAAAATAAAAATAAAGATTTTAATTATTTCAAATGTGTTATTGTTTTTAATCAGGTACTATTAAATCATATTTTATAAGTGGATTTCTTCTGTTTTTATTAAATTGTTCATTGCAAAAAAATTTCTTCAGTATACATGTAAGTAGTTGTAATTTCAATACGAAAGACTTGTAACATTTGGAAAACAATATGTCAGGATCAATCCTTGACATTGAAGGGACTAGGACAGCTAATTACCTTCTAGTTTTAACCTGTACAGCAAATGCGTGGCATCGGTTAAATTGAAATCACTTTTAGATCTTTGTGTTCGAACTCCAACCTGCCAAAATTTCTATACTTTAACCTAATGTGTCACTGAAGTTTTTCCAACGTACAAGTTCAAATATTCTCATGTATTTTTTTCTAAATATTTTTAAATGAATTTTCTTTTTCTAAAACTCTCACCTGTGAATCAAATATTTCTAATGCGGATCTGAAGTCTCCCTATAAAAAATGGCAGAATTGAATGTGAATGTATATAAATTCTCGCTTATTTCTATCTAGATTGTGCCCATTTATATTTTAAATTTTAAAGCTCAACTGAGCTGAAGGTTTCTGCTTAATTGTTGTCTGTATATATGTCCATCTGTCCTCTATAAACTTTTCACAGTTTAGACTTCTAAAGAACCACTGAGCTAATTTCAACAAACTTGCCACGAAGCATTATTACAACGCACTTTGAAAAATTACGCACTTTGAAAATTTTTTTCAAAGTGCGTTGATTTTGTCCCAATTTGAACGCACTTTGAAAAATTTTTTCAAAGTGCGTAATTTTTTCAAAGTGCGTTGTCACAAAGCATCCTTGGGAGAAGAAAAGGAAGGGCTGTGTTCTCTTTCAAGGGGAGATTTTTGAGAATTTGTAAAACAAAAAATAATGGAGTCTTTAAAAATCTCCTGGAGTTAAGATATCTAATGTCTTTTTAATCTGCCGAGGCCATAGTGACTCAATTGATCGTTGTGGCCCATTGGCCGTCTGTGGGAATCATTTTCAAAGATGATACTGTATGGGATGAAATATTTTTGGCTTTAAGATATTTTTACAATTGTGATAATAATTAAAAGTTGTATCTACCTTCTCAGCATGAAAGATTCCTACGTGCCAGTAATTATGACAGGCAAGAAATTCGCACCGCTGTAATATATATTATGTTTTGTTAAAAAAAAAAAATAATTAAACAAAAAATTAAAATTATAAAGTTGGTTATTGATAATTACATGGAATACATCATGCCCATGTATACTTATTATATACATACATTCCAGTCGCTCTCCGTGGACAGCATAAAATTAATCCCTTTGTCGTGCATTCCCTGCATCAAATACACATGTGATAAAGTGTGAGATGCATAGGTCTCATGGCGTTCTAATTCCAGACTCTGAAATATGGTGCAATTATTAAAAACAATAGATGAGCTTTATTATATTAATTACTATCATGATGTTTTGTCAAACCTCCCGCGTTGATCTTTTCCTGTTTCATATTGATCGTTTAATTAATTTTCTTCAGTAAATTTTTACCTTCTTTGCAACTTTTTCTGCAAGGTCATAATAATTATTTTCTTCCAAACAGAACGCTTGCCAACCTAGAATTGTGCTGTTAAAACAAACAGGAAAGAAAAGTTACAAATGTGCTGCTTTAAAAACAAGAGGCCCATTGACTATCCTCACCTGTAAAGCATTGGCCCTTATTACTGTTTACCCCCCCCCCCCCCACCCCTTTCTACCTGGACCACGATTTTAGCAAATCTAAATCTGCACTACTTGATTAATGATTTATATTAGTCATGGCACAGTGGTTCTTTAGAAAACTTTCTGATATTCCAGTGTAAATATCTATTGTGGCCCCAATCGGTTTTGTTTTAAGAATTTGAACCATTTTTGAAAGAACATGTATTAATTTCTTTTATTCTTAACAGTTAAGTATCTTCCTTTTGAAACTGCACAAGTCATCGAAAATATAAAAAAAATATTAAAACATGACAAAGAGAGAGTTGAATGTTTATCGGATAATGATCTCATCCAGGTGAGCTAAAAAAAGAAACTATTCATTCATGTACAAATGAAATTTATCTTAAATTATTTGCTAAAGTTTAATACCAAGTAGGCAAGACAAAAAAACACATTAAGTTTGCTAACCTGTATCCTGGCGTTTCAAGAGAAAAGTGAGGTAAAATTCTTGTCATTATGTCTTTGTTTTCTTGTTGTAGTCCCAGGTTAATCATTCCCAGAAAACACTGCCTGGCCGCCATCATGTCCGTAGGATAATCTATCAAGATGTCTTCCCAGGCCTGAATGGCTTCATAGCGTTTTCTGTTTTAAATGAAGTCAGTACAATGTCTTATAACTACGATTAAATCTACTTCAATATCAGAAATGAAGGAAACAAATTTTAATTTGCCAATTATTTTGAGAGTATTGTTTAAATTTCTAGTCCCCCACCAGCAAGTGAAATGTTTCCCCATAATTTCTTTTGAAAGACCCTACAAGGTACACTCAAATATCCCCCTCTCCCAAATCAGCTCAATATCTGTAAGCTTTTAGAAAAATAGTCCTGATATCCAAGTGGGACGGACAGAGAGAAGGAAATACAGACATCAAATTGGATAGACAGATGGACAGGCTAGGGGAAAACCTGTGGAGAACTATACACATGTAAACTAGTACAAATTCTGGATTACTAACCCTTGAGCAAACAAACAGGTGGCATTAATGTGCCTTTCCTCCCTCTCTGTAATGGCCTTGACCTTCTCTTTCAAGGACTTTAGTTGCGCGATTTTTTTCTGTAGCTCTGGGTTTAAATGGTGAGGTTTTTCACATCCTCCAAGCTGCATATTGTGATTCAGCACATTGCCCATAACTTTAAAAAGAAACATAATTTATTTACATTGTACAATACCTCTGCGTGTATCCAACCTACAATTCTACTCGTAAATGCATTGTGGCAACGCACTTTGAAAAAATTACGCACTTTGAAAATTTTTTCAAAGTGCGTTAAAATTGGGACAAAATCAACGCACTTTGAAAAATGTTTTCAAAGTGCGTTAAATTTGGGACCAACTCAACGCACTTTGAAAAAAATTTTCAAAGTGCGTTAAAAGTCTACATCAATATATTTTACCATGGAGACACTTAACGCACTTTGAAAAAAAATCATATTTTAGTCATGGAAAGATTTTATTTGTTATTTATCTTTCAAAAAACTAAGCCTAACCCTCACCTCAAAAATGAATTGATTTTCTCCCGTCGAAAAGAGGAGAAGACGGGTATAAGATCCCTCAGTCCAAATCTTTATCTTTCCAATACATAGGTGTCGGTAACAAACGGGGGAGGGGAGCAATAAACCTAAAAAGGGTACGCTGCATTTTCAATGCTTATACGATGTATATCTTTCCAAAATAAGTAGGGGGCTTAGCCCCCCATCCCCTCTCCTGGCCCATCGCCCAGTCTCGATGTCTATGCTATACTCAAAGCATTCATATAATTATGTATTTACCTAACTGGTATGACGTTGAAAACTTTCAATAATAAATGAGTTAATTAAAACAGATGAAAACTAGACATTTTAAGTACTGTAAAACGTATGAGAGAGAAAGAATTTTCATAGTTTTGAACAATAAAATTGGCCCCTTTTTATTATGATAAATGCTAAGTTGCTTGAAGCTGTCCTCTGTTAGTGCCCCTATACACCTTTACATCTACTTATCAAAGACTAGAATGAAAAAGAAAAAGAAGAAACGAATTAATGAACTTAAACAATCGTCACTCTTTTTTTCAAGACCCTTTAATTTTCCCTTTTATTTTATCAAAACCTTAATTATTTAAAACGTCATTATCTCAGGTCCTACAGTGACTTTATCATAAAAAAGTTATCAAACCAGGATCTGTTGTTTCTCATAGCAATTATTTGAAGGAATATTGATCAATCTTTACATTTTTTTCAAAGTGCGTTAATATGGTCGATATTAACGCACTTTGAAAAAAAATATATTTTTTTCAAAGTGCGTTAGCTTGGTCCCAAATTTTAACGCACTTTGAAATTTTTTTCAAAGTGCGTAATTTTTCAAAGTGCGTTGTAACAATGCATAATTAATTATTATCGATTCATCTAAAACATAGTGCATTTACCAAAATCTGGATCAGCTGTAAGCATTTGTTTTACACAGTTTTCTAGTCCACCAACGGACGGTTCGTTATACATTCCATATGACTGTAAAATAAATAAATTAAATTTGTTTTTTAAGGGGGGTAACGATAAAATAAATTACATAAATAGGGGCAAATAATAAATTTAAAGGAAGATAGCGACCATTAGCCTTCGAAGACCAAATTGATAGATTTTTTTGATGAGACATGCTGCACAATAATTGTATTGTAATCATATACACAGGCACCTGAAGTATGGATAATACCCCCCCCTTTTTTTTAATGAAAAAAAATGTAGGAGTGTATAATATCTCAAAAATATAAAATTTCCCCGTCAAACACATCTATATGTCGTTATATGCAAGCAGATTGTACTTTTTCTCACGTTTAAAGAATGGCCCTATTCGGTATAATAAAAATACACGATGTTATTGCAGCCCGGAGGACCGGGCTGCTCTATACATATAAGTTTAAGTGTTGGTGTATGGGGATTGGGATGGGAGCAGTTATTTAGAATTAAAAGTTTTCTAACCATTGAAAATATTATTAATCAGAGTGTTCTTTCCCTTTATAAATTACGAGATATATAATATATTTACTTCCATGAAGTGAATCTGTAAAAGTATATATGTTTTTCATATTTAATATCATATACTATCGAAAAAACGACAGGTCCCTTTTTTTAGAATATCGAATTTTACTTCTCGCATAAAAACGTACTCTGCACAGTTCGTGTTTTATATTCTAAAATTGCAAATTAATACATTTTTGAATATAGGTGATGCATGTGTCTAACTTCAATTTATATTTTATGCAGCCAAAATTTACTTGAGGAATATTGATGAAGTTTAAAATGGTATCGTTTTTGTTTGATTTTTATCCGACTTTAAGTTTTCAAAATATTCGCGACTTTCGTCTCCGTCAATTAGACGCATTCCTTTTCACACATATAGGAGCGGTTTGATGATCAAGACTCATTTTCATTGTTTACTTTAGATATTTCCCGGATGGTCACATCAATGTTTTCTTGTGATAGGTAACACGAGTTATGATAGGTAACACTGTTAATATGTTGACGGTGCGACCGTTAGAGCGAGCGCAAACTCTTCTATTGTTTTAATTTAGATCGGGCTCGTCAAACCGCACGTGACATTTGGTGCGTCTAGACTCTGACGTCACATGACGTCGTATGTAAGTTTCAAATACCAAGAAAAAACTGAACACTGCTGAAAGTTAATGAAAAAAGTTACGTTTACAATTTATCTTCAATATGTATCCATTAAATCAAGGCGAGTAAACTTTTTGTTGAACATTTGCCGTCATTCTCGTGAGAACGCAACTTTGCTTAGTGATGCATTGTGGGTCAAAATTACTGCAGCAAAAAATTCTAAAGAATGAATGTGCAGTAGTCCGAATTTTCTCTTCGCCCAGGCGTTGTCGTTAGAGCTCGCAGTTACGAGCGTCGCTCCGCGACGCTCGCTGCGCTCGCTATTACCTTGGAAATCTGTCTCGAAGCAGAGGTCCTCCCGTTTGTTTACAACTTTTGTTTCTTACCTTGTGTATTTTTATTACACCGAATAGGCCCATTCTTTAAACGTGAGAAAAAGTACAATCTGCTTGCATATAACGACATAATTATGGATGTGTTTGACGGGGAAATTTTATATTTTTGAGATATTATACCCTCTTAAATTTTTTTCATTTAAAAAGAAGGGGGGATTCCATACTTCAGGTGCCCGTGATCATATACATGTATATTACGTTGACCAGTACGTTTGACTACCTGTGTTAGGGAGGCGTCAAATAATTTACATGCTTCGTTATTCGTCGTAGACATGGGAAGACCATTGTCACTCCAAGCCTGTAATAAAATCAAGAAGAAGTTTTTGTGAAACCTTGATGCCCCCTATGACCGCTTACGACGAGGGTTGACGTTCCTCAATTGCAAGTCAAACTCCAAGGTCAAAAGGTCTAAATTTTTGTTATCAAAAGGAAGGCCTTGTAACAAGAATATACATGTGAAATATGAAAGCCATAGTATATGTACTAACGGTTCATAAGTTATGGCCAAGATAAAGTTTTTTGAACAATTGGTCCAACTCTAAGGTCAAAGTAAATTATTTTAAAGTAATATACGCTATAACTTGCGCCAGACTGGTTTAAACACGGTTGGAAATTTATATATTTTGTTTACCAATAAAGGTTACGAAAATACTGTAAATTACATCATTAAAATTGAACGCGTTATAAAGTTATTAAATTATAATTATCTATAATCCTGCCAGGAGAGAAATGACTATTTTAAAATAGATTCATCACCTGACGCCGTCACTACTTTCTGCATGAACAAACAACGACACATGGCGTCAAGAAAACGAGGTAGGCCGTTTGGAATTCAATTAACTTTTGACATGGATGGCAAACGTCTTTAAAGATACTCATCGTTTAATGTAATCAGTATCAACCATCTACTCTGTTATGACGCATATTAAGGTAGGATTCTTCTCACATTTCTTGTATTTAAAAATTAATGAAATTTTCACAGAATCAAGAGGACAATATCACTAAGTGATGGTATCAGTGAAATTAAATTTGAAAATTTTAATATTAGAGGCAAGGTCAGGTCAAGGTCATTACCTTTTTCCTGGACATTAAGAATAAAAAATTACTGTTTCCAATCATGTGATCCCTACTTGTAATTCAAAAGATTGGATGTTTTTCTTTTTGCATAAAAAGATACTACCATATAGGGCCTGTAAGATGATATTACCAAATTGAAATGAATAATTTAAATAAAATGGAAATTTGCTAATCCGAATTTCCTCTACTTTTCTTAAATTTTTATTATTTATTGGTTATTTTTCTATTTTTCCTATATTTAACTTACAAAAACTAAAAAGTTTTGATCGTTTACTAAGAGAGAAATAACACTTTTCACGGATTTTTGGCTCAAATCTGTACTTAGATTTGAAGCATTTACAAAGCCAACATAGTTCTAGTATGTGTGAAAAATCTTATTTATTTGATATATTTTGAAACTTTAGTCACTTATTATTAATTTAACTTACATTTGAAAATTTCGTCTAGTCTTCGATTGCGTAAAAATTATAACTAAATTCAATGTTCTATAATAATTTTGAGAGGCAGAAAAGAAAATATTTTCATACGCCACCATTCCGCCAAAAATATAGTGCCTGCTAGTTTTCAAACGCAGTTCACCATTTCTATTTAAAGTAGTATAATTGTGATGAGGAAAGATAAATATGGTCTTTTAAATGTCTTACATCTAAATATATAAGACATATCAACAAATGTACTTTGAATATTCCATCTAGTCAGAAACCAGAGAAGAATCCTACCTTAACCTTTTATTAACAAGAAATGTTTGTAAAACACTTAGATCTATGCCCCCGCCCCCCCAAAATGGAATTTTTCCAAGTCCAAAAGGGCATAACTCTGTCAAAAATGTCACTGAAAGGTCTTGTCATAATGAATACATATGTGGATATGTGAAGTATAAAAGCCCTGGTACCAACTGTTAAAATATATGACAAAGGTTAGTGTGATTGTCATATTTTTTGTATAAGTGGGTCAAACTACATGTACAAGGTCAAGAGGTCAAATTTGGTGGTACCCAAAGAAAGGTCTTATCACAAGAATACGCCTGTAAAATATGAAAGTCATGGCACCAGACACTATAAAAAAGTATAATGAGCAAGGTTAACGTTAAAGTTTTTGCGGACAAACAGACAGACAGTTGGACGGGCAGAACCAAAACAATACACCCCCGAATCTTCGATGAAGGGGCATGAAAAATTCATAAAATCATGCTATAATTTTTTTTAAAAAAATATCAAAAAACGATGCAGTATTTACCAATATAAAGTTAATTTTGTCCCCAATGGTTCGCCTGCCAAAAATACGCTATTTACACATCCGTCCTCGTACAAAAACAAGGCATACCAAAATTCCTATTCTGTTTTCTCAGAGAATCTTGGTTGCAAGTTTTTTCAGCTTTTCGAGTATATAAATTCTGATAAAGTCTACCTTGCAGTCTCTCCAGGTAGTCCGCATGTTGTCATCAGAAGAGTTTCACTTCACAAGTTTGAGAGCTTCAGTCATCAGGTCTCACGCAATATGGAAACTCACCTGGATAATAAAAAAATGGAACGTCCGACTTTGCGAACTTTTCCATATGTATCACAGGCACTTGTTTCGTATTGAAAACACCCTTATTCTTTGTTTTCTTTACCAATAAATACCTATCTCAATTTCAGATACCTCCTTCTTGTTTTTTTTAACCACATAGTACTTAATTATCTAATTTTCAGGTACTGTATAGTTAATTAAAATAATTTAACTGTGTCTCGGTACATACTCTCATCACATTTATCGTTAACTTGAAACTGGGTCCTTCATCGCCGGATACCCACGGGTGATCTCAAAAACAGGCATGTAGCAACCTAGGGGGGGGGGCTACCCCCACACTTTTTTTCACAAGACTTTTCATTAAAATGGAGTTAGTTGCTTCCTGTTTATCAAGTATTGGATAGAGAGACTTCTAATTCCCTTCATTAATTCATTTTAGGTAACATCGTAACATTTAACAGAAGATGAACCCAATACTTCACTGATAATTAAGTTTATAGCCTATGTTGTTTTACGTCACTCTCGCGAGAATTTTTCACTGGTCGGTGGAGAGCTGCAAAATTTGAACTATATTCAGAGCCATTGAGAAGTGATGGATCGTTTTCATGCCACTGACATTTACTTTGACACGTTACCTCAGTTTGTACAGTCTTATCCTAAGGACTGGTCTCCATACCCCGGATATCCTGAATTAGAACCCGCGGGTTATCTGGGCTTCATAGAAGATAGAAATGTTTGCATGTTTGTATACGGTATAATAAAATTATACCGTATAAGGCCATTCTTTTTACGTGAGAAAAAGTAAAATCTACTTGCAAAGGACGACATATAGATCTATGTGTTTGACGGGGAAATTTTATATTTCTGAGATATTATATACTCTTACATTTTTTTTTTCATTAAGAAAAGGGGGCTATTATCCACACTTCAGGTGCCTGTGATTTTATTTTTTTTAAAAATAGCCTTGGCTCTTTCCTTTTACATGTATATGAACCATGTTCACATTCAGAATAGAGGGTATAATTGTGGGGGTTTCCAACATTACGGCAGTACCCTGGTAGACATTGTATTTATATTGGAAAGTTTACGATCTACAGGAATTAGTAGAAAGATCTCTTCAACACATGTACCTTACTTTTTTTTAAATTTGATTTTATCAATTATCCAATGGTAATGCACATGTTAACACTTTTTCTATGCATATCATAACAGAACGTATTTCAACTTTTAATATATGAAACATATAATATTAGCTGCTTTGTTCAAACAAATAAATATTGTGTACTACACTGTATTACACAAATAAACAGTATAATCATGATAATGTTGAGGCTATTTTGTTTGTTTGTTTTATTTTTGTTAACTCAGCCCGTAATCATAGTCTGGATTTCCTGCCCTTAGTGACGAAAAGAAATGAATGTGAGCCGAGGGTTCCTCGTATGTCTCTTTCACAGCCGGAAGTTCCATCATTAGTTTCATCCAGGAAGACAAATGTGGAAACTCTTTAGAATTAACTTCCGCCTCCGGTGCTATTATTGATAAAATTGGCACTCGTTCAAACCAGGGCCAGATCATAAAATCCACCATACAAGGCGATGACCCTATTAGATAAGTAATTTTCAAATTATGATACAAATAAATATTTGTTGATATATATATGTGCATAATGGAAGGTTACTTCCAAGTCTTTGTTAAATTTTCGGGTTATAAAATGCACATTACATTTATATACAGGAAAGGTAAAAAATGTATTTGCATTTTGAATCAAAGTATATCTCAAACATACATGTACATGAAATAACAAAACTTTTACGCAGCCCCCCCCCCCCCCGGCCCTCCTGATGCCACGCACTCGGAGCTCCTCTGGTGGCTCGTACCTCGCTCACCAATTTGAATGGAGCGTAGCGGAGTCAGCCGAGGGTTGCCGATTGGATGCCATGTGCCTTCTTTCACCCCCCCCCTCTCTCATTTCGCGAGATAATCATTGACTTTGATTAGCGAGACAAAATTTTCACGTAAAGTGGTAAAGTGGTCATTGTTCCATATATACTTGTACACTGTAATCTTAAGAAATTAAATTGTCGCGAGCACACTGTATTACAAGCGGTCGTCACTAACCTCCGAAGTATTCCCCTCTCTGTTTGAGCTCGTCTTCATAACGTTTTAACTGTCTCTTAAATCGGCGTAGACACCTATCCAGCGTTCCATCGGCCACAGATTTTGGAATCTCGTAAAATAATTCCGTCACCTACTCAATAATATCGATAATATTTGTTAGAATGTATTTTCAATCAAATTTTAAAAAGACGATTATAGAAAAAGCCACGTCAATTTTATTTTTTTCTCACCTTTCCAAACGTTTCCCATAGCAACTTGTCTCTGCTTGCGAGATAAAAGTCTGATGGGATCAATTTGGGGTTGGGGTACACGTTATCTATGTACTCGTTGCAAACATTGGACTCGTATACCACCTTGCCGTCACATTCTAATACAGGAACGAGGCCGATGGGATTTCGTGCTTTAAACCAGTCGGGTTTCTGTTTTAAATTGATGTTTACTGTCTCAAATCTGTAATATTTAACAAAAAGCAACTGAATTAAATTCAATATGTAAACTGTAAATACAAACCATTTCAAATTGTTTATTTAGCTATTTTATATAACTTGGCATGAATTATATTTGACAAGAGTAACCGCTAATCCCTTTAGTTTTGGATGGATGAAAAAAAAAGTCAATGCGAAATTTGATCTACAGCAATGCAATAATTCACTTACAAGTAACAGGATTTCGTGGGGTTGACACATCATATACCGGTACTAGCTAGGCTTTTATTCCACAGGAGTTTCTTGAGACGTCGCCCCGACTGGGCCTTAATCAGGGTTTTGCCCTGAAACCATACAGGGCTTCAAAACAGCCAAAGAGCAAGCCTTTTTTCAACCTACCCCCTAAACGAAATGGTTCCTGGATCCGCCCCCTACATCTGATAAATCATGAATAAAATCTTCACCCACCCCATCCCACCCTCCGAAAGAAAGAAAAACACATACGTTACATTCTTATGCAGAAGGACCAGTCGTGTCCGCTGGGCGTACGGACAGAATCTCATACTGTAGAGGCGGAGAGTCCCAGGGGCCAGAGGGGGGCACTGGGTACCTGCAACAAATAATATTAACACATTGAGTATCTGACAGAAATTTTAGATACAATGTACATATATTAATTTAGTACAATACTCAAATGGTTTTCATAGTACGAGTTAATGTTCCTTGATATGCATGCATACAGTATTAATAAACAAACCTCGACCGAGAGCTTTTTCTGACATTATTTTGATTTCAGAAAAACTTCTCCTCACGGTATACAGTACTGCCGCTTTCTGGAGTTTTTGTAGACATAAAAACACGGATGACATCGATCGGACTATCTCAGTGCTGATTATTCGGGGTGACACAGGTCTATCTGATCCGTTCCACAAACTGACCTTACATGTAGTTCCGTGTAGAGTTACCTCCCTTTTCGTACAACACTGCGAGACTTAAACCTAGAATGTATGTGAACGATGAAACTTTAAACATTTTCTAGCACACAGTGACTATCAGGACATAAGATGTTGACGCATCACTGTTTATCATAATCAAAATGTGGAGCTAAAATGAGATTGAAATAATGTTTTCCGTTTTGCGATGTTTTAGTTGTACATTGTATGTACAAGTCACATGTACTTGATTCTATCCTATTTTTTAACCCATAATATAATGAGATAACACAAGGTATCGTACCCCGCTCTCTAGAATCACACTCATTTTCACTTCCAGACTGAGAAAATGCACGGACACTTTGTTTATTGTACCCCGCTTTCGCGAAAGCGAGGGGACATTAAATCTCATTCGTCTGTCCGTCGGTCCGTCAGTCTGTCCGTCCGTCACAAAAACTTTAACCTTGCCCATAACTTTTGATTTAGTGGAGCTATAATTTTCATATTTCATATGTGTATTCCTTGTCATAAGACCTTTCTTTGGGTACCACCAAATTTGACCTTTTGACCTTGACCTTGGAGTTTCAACTACTTTTACTAAAAAAATCCAAACTTTTACTTTGGCCATAACTTTTGAATGGTAGGTACTAGGACTTTCATATATAAGATATTTATTCTTTGTGACAAGACCTTTCAATGAACACCAACAACTTTGACCTTTTGACCTTGACCTTGGAAATTTACGTACTTATGAAAAAACTATATCCTTGACCATAATTTTTGAACGGTAAGGGCTACGGCTTTTATACTTCACATATGTTATTTTTGTAAGAAGACCTTTCATTGGATACCAAGAACTTTGACCTTTTGACCTTGACCTTGGAGTTTTAACTACTTTTTAAAAATTATAACCTTGGTCACAACTTTTGAACGGTAGATACAAGGACTTTTATATTTCACACATGTATTCTTTGAGGCGACACCTTTCATTGGATACCAACAACTTTGACCTTTGGACCTTGACCTTGGAGATTTATGTACTTCTGAAAAAACTTTAACCTTGACCATAACTTTTAAACGGTAAAGGCTAGGGCTTTCGTACTTCACGTATGTAATTCTTGTGAGAAGACCTTTCATTGCATGCCAAGAACTTTGACCCTTTATCCTTGACCTTGGAGTTTTAACTACTATTTAAAAACGTTAACCTTGGTCACAACTTTTGAACGGTAGAAACTAGGACTTTCATATTTTTTTAAATATATGTATTCTTTATGGCAAGACCTTTCATGGGATACCAAAAACTTTGACCTATTGACCTTGACCCTAAAAATGATATCTTGCCCACAAAGATACCGAAAGCGGGGGACCACAATTCTTTGAATTTGCTTGTTTTCTTTAATATCCACAAACAGCGTCAAAACTCTTCTCGCCGAGTGGAAAAGTTAATCAATCGACGTTTTAAAAATCAACGAACTCCTCAGATAAAATAAGATATTTATGTTTGATGTTTTCTACTGTAAAATCACGATACCTTTGAATTTACAAATAATTTTTGCAAAACAACAAGTTTTAAGGATTGTTCTTCAAACACTCTCTACGACATCCAGGCACTCGGTTATATGTAACTACACATGAATATAAAGACGAACCAAAAAAAAAATATTGAAAAAAATTTAAACTGATATAACAACCGAAAATTACAGTTTTTGATCCTTAACAATTGTGAGTAAAATACTAGTTGTTCAAAGCAAAATAATGTATTTTTCACCCATAAAAACATTAAAGGACGAGCAAAAATACAGTTACATGTAGATCTGATTCGTCTTTGGTTCCAGAGTTTCTTTTTTTAATGGTGAGAAAATAATATTTATCTGAAATTTAAAATCGGCACCATAACAAGTGCTCCGGCATCAGCTGGGTATACTTTACAATAATACCCGATATGTCAATTTGCTTGGTTGTGTCTGCCCATTGTACATATGTAAAATCTCATATTTTCGTAAGGCCTTTTCCCAAAGTTTGAAGGAAAAATATTGGTTTTGTGGGGGTTTGATTTTTCTTTTCGTGGAAATATGGTTATAAGTACATGTAATGCATATATGAAATTTAACATTTCAAGGCGGGTCTGTACTGTACAAACCTCGAAAACGACGAAAATTTAATTTCCACGAAAATTAATGATTTCACAGTATTGTAAAATCACAAATTTTCAAGGGGTTAAATTTTCGTGATTTGAAGGAAATTCATTTGTTCATGGGGATTTGATTTCGTGGTTAAAGAATTGTTCAGTAGTTACAAATGTGAAAAATTGCATTTCGTGGTGGACATAAAATTATGGGTCTCCTCATACTGTCTTGTCTAGTTTTGACGGTTTATTGAACCTTGGAGAACTCGCTTGCATTGAGGGACCCTTTTGACCCAGTCTCCTGTCCTGTACGGTTTGGGATGACTGTCAAATATATATAACCAGGGAAAGCGTAAATAAAATGTAACTTGTTTTATTGTCGTCTCCGATCAGATCTTTACAAGCAAATAGTCACCAGTTACAATAACTAAAAATATATAGATTATGCTCAATGGCATTTACAAATTAAAATTCCCTAATCTATACCCAACCTGGTGACTAATAGAGTGATCAAACAGTTTTCAAAATACTCACACTATATCAAAATAAAACTGAACAATACTGTAAGCAATTAAAATATTTACCTGAGTTTTGGCTCACTCATAAAGAAAAATAATCTCAAACAAAGAAAATTGTAAATATGTCCTAACCATAAAATCCAAAAACTTTTAACAATTAATATACATAATAGAACTTTAAAATTAATTTATTCGTTATCTCAAAAATACAAGATAAAAGATTAATACAGTAAATAAATCTCGAAAGCTCAATTTTTTTGTTAAGTTATTTTCAAAGAAAAATTATTATTTGTGAAATTTTTAGTATCATACCTGTAAAATATATATATAACCAGGGAAAGCGTAAATAAAATGTAACTTGTTTCATTGCCGTCTCCGATCAGAGGGATCCCAGTGAGGACACAATCTATATCGGAGACTCCACGCTTCCCTGTACAGGTATTAACCAATCAAAATTCATATTGATGCATACAAAAATTTAATTTACGGATAATCTTCTCACTTCCTTATTCTGTAATTTATCTATTTACTTGACCAATTGACCATACTTTAACTATTAACATAACCTCTTAGGACTTAGCACTAAATGGAATGGTTGACACCTTCTGTGATTCAAGAATTACACAGATAAAAGGAACCCTCAAGTACAATTTTACATTTCTACATGTATAATAAAAAAATCTAATAATCATAAATAACTCACACCAAAAGAAAAAGGCATCTTTTTACATCCTTAACTGTTGACTATTATTGATCTAAATATTTTAAACAATTTATGAGTTCATTGAACGAAATCAACAAATAAATAATACATGTACATTATGACAAAAGTCTTTCTTTGATGTACACAATCTGCTTATCAAACATTGATGTCGTCATGTTGCAGATTTTATTTGAAAAATAAATTATGTCAGAAAGGATAATACCTTGAAAACCACGAAAATTGAACCCCCACGAAATTTACTGATTTCACAATAGTTCATTTGGGATCACTAGGTATCAAAATACAGGGAAAATATTTTTAGCGCGCAGAAAATTGGCATAGACCAAGATTCATTTACGAACACCAAAAATGGAAAATACCGTCCATTTATTGCAGAGGAAATCGGTAGAATATAAAACAAAAAGTCCATATAAATGTATCATCTGTAAAAGAAATACTAGTAACACGTGTACTAATTTTTTTTGTTCTGTTTAAAAAGTCAACATCAGTTTTTGACCATCAAGCATAGATATGGCTACTTTCCAAATAGGATGTCATACGAGGGTGATCGGGTCCTAATCAACCAATAAAAAAACCGCATGTGAATCAAATTCCAGTAGCGTCATCACTCAGCGCAACGCCATAATCGCAATAATTGATATCGGTGAGATTTGCGATAATTAATTGCAGTGCTTTTTGTTTGTTTTTTTGTATTATGTTAATGATACAATGTAGCTCTCTAATAAATTACATTAATGGTAAAGAAATCAGGAAAGGTTTATTGGAGGAAATAAAGCAACGCATGACGTCACTGAAATGATTTAAAGAAAATCCCTATTGATGAAATAAAGAAAGAATACGTGTTGTGAAGACTTAATTGAATATTGCTTTATAGTTACTTATAATAACTGAATTCATTCATCCAGAATACCAATATGACGGAGAGGAAGTTTATTATTTGCTCTTTTTTTCTTGATGACGTAAAATCCTTTTTAGTGACGAATACTAACACTCATTTTGTATTATTCAATAGAGAAATGAAGATTTTTTTTTACCAAAGTTTCGGCCTTATATTTTATGAATGATTTTAACAAAAAGTGCTCAGTTTACGTTCCATTTATCCAATCATGACAAGGATCGAGTACATGGCGGTTTGGACCGGTCGACAAAAAAATGCTTGCTCCTCTATGCCGCCTAGCCCTATGACCATACAAGTACTTAGTAAACTGAGAATAGACTTAAGTCAAAATTTCAAATTAATATAACCTAAAAAATATTAATGAAACTAAATTTGTATCATTTGTTGGAATTTGAATATTATACATAACTAAAAAAATTAAGAACATATTCTAAACATATTCTAAACATGTTCAGAATCAAAATGTTGACCTAAGTTTGTTCTCAGTTTATGGTCTTGAGGCCTGATCCTACCGCTGGTGCATTAGAGGTCCGTGTTTTGTCTTTTCCCACTTTGTATTGTCTTAAAATACTTTTGAGCTTGGTTTCATAATTTTAGCCGGGCTTATTGCTCAAAGAGCAATTGCCGGTGTAACGTTGAATTTTGACCCGGGTTGAAAATTGACCCGGGGGTCATTTTTCAACGATGATTACTGAGACCAAAGGTGTTGAATTTAGACCCTAATCCGTTGAAAACTGAGCCGGGTCGTGGAATTTTGATCATGAAACCGGTTC